AGCTAGAAGAAAATGGAAGAAATTATCATTATCACAAATATAGAGCCTCCATTGGTTGGATGCAAAAGTTAATCTTAAGTTCAAATATCGACTCTGAACTATAAAAGAAAAAAGAAGATATCTTGAACAAGAATAAGAAAGAATCGATAAATCAGTGAAGGAATTTTGATAAATAATGCACCAACCTTACCAGTATGACAATAGCAGGATTCCTCTTGAGTTTCATAGGGAGTTGACCATGGAATTCAGCAAAAGAAGAAACTGAAAACTTAAAAGAATGATGATCCTTTAAGATTCAATCTTCATAGCAAAGTCTGATGAGTCTATGAATGGATATGATTGTCTTAAATTGAAAGAAAGCACGAGATAAACCGTTATCATGAACAAAGAGAATTTACAAAATAGTTATCTTTTTTCCTCTTTGCAGTAGAGATTATGAATTACAGAGATAGTCGTGAAGCCAATTTCAATTTTACTTTGAGAATCGGGACCCCATTTTTCATATGCAGGGTATCTCTTTACAAAACAATAGTTACAATCAAGGAGAATAGCTTAGTTTTTTAAATGCTTAGAAGAATTAGTCATTTCTCCTAGAATTGAGGCTAACATAAGATATTTGCCAGCTAAAGTGAAACAGATTCTTAAATTGACAGATTTACTCCAAAAGAAAACATAATTTATTTAGTAGTTTAGAGAGCTTTGTTTAGAATTATATAATTAACACTGAAACAATATACTTTTTTTATGAAACACTGAAGCAATATACTTGAAACCTGTCTGAGTAAATGAAAATCATATTTCCAGTGAAATCAAGTTAATATGCCATCAAACTGAATGACATTTGGTGAGATAAAATCACAGTCACAATTTACGGAACGCAGGATCTCTTTGTGCGAGTCACCTACAATACCTGGAATTAATTTTCCAAGCAAAATATTCTACAAAAACATGAATTCATGATTTATAAGAAAAGATTAAGGCTTTCTCTGTCTCATTAAATAAAATGAGTGAATGGATAGTGAGAGTCCAAACTTAAATGCAACATTGGTCTGGGACACTTATTCCTGCTGGAACTGTCAAACATATTCTAAATAGACTCAGAAGGAAGAATTGGAAACAGTTTCACAAGGAACTTATTGTTGCATTGTGCGGAGCAATGATATACCAGGTTTGGAGAGCAAGGAACTAGAAATTGTTTAAAGGCATCACTATAAATACAGATACGTCTGTGACACAAATTAAGAAGGAATTTGTAGATAGACTTGAAGTAGTTAAATGGTCTAGAAAGGCGAATAAGTATAATTGGTTGTTGGAGAGATTTGTGTAATTAGAGTTCTATATGAGGCTTAACTCTCTTAATACCTTTCTTAGAGGGTGATTAGGGGATTGAGTGCTCTTTAGGTGTATTTGGTTTTTGTTGTTAATGGTAATTTACATTGGTTACAAAAAAAAAAAAGAGTGAATAAATACAACAATGTTACCTCGAGAAATTACTATTTTTGTCAATTCAATTTTAAACTTCTAAACTGACATAAAGTGATACGTACATTCTTAAATTTCAACAAATTTTAAAATAACTAAGTACACTCAAACGTGTACCAGTTGAAGAAACCCACTCAAAATAGAGTTTCACAATCTCAAATGCCCACCCAAGCAACTTTAAGTGAAAACAGAGTGAACAAAAAACCCTGAAGGCGGGTCTTCAAAAAGACGGACAGAGAAAATTAAAGGATGATCACTCTCTTTGTCAAACCCATGAATCAACATATGGAAATTATTTCCAAAATAATGTTGAGTGTCAGTGTAAAATGACAGAAGTAAAATATGAACTAAAAAGAGAAGGACTGGTAACCATAAAATAAGGAATGGCCAGGAAAATACTGCTTTCATCAACTGCTTGACTTCTGACTCAGAAAGTTTTGTACCCATTTTTATAAGACCAACTTTCAATTCTTCAAATGTAATTGTCTCACTGTCATCAGTGTCTATAGATTTGAAGTGATGTAGTTGTATAGAAGAGTAAGAAAAAAGAAAATGAACCAGATATTCTATTCCAAGTCAATGTTCAATACTTATTATTGCATACATTTTCTTATGGCAAGCAAGAAGTCAGATCAGTTTTTGATATCCAAACTTTTATTTTATTATGTGAAAACAAACTAAAGTGTTATACAGTCTATAATCAATAGTCATTTTGAAAGATATAGAAATATTACTATAGAATTCAAAGATGTGTTATATTTTTTGTGTAAAGACACTAAATCAAGCTTTCTGTTTGTTTTTCTCTTTTATCACTGCACATGTTAAAATCAGTTTAATTGTCAAAAAAACACTTCTATCTAAAAGTTTTGAAGTCATTGACTCATGGTCAATAAAGGTGGGAAGTTTGATCTCAAAATGTTAAACCATGTCTACATTTTACATTAAAGACACGTGATTGACTGTGGAAAAAATTGCATGGAGGAATAAAGGGAACAACTTTGGATTGTTTGTTTTTCTGCTCGAACTCCAATACTACCCCCATAACATGAAATTCACAAAAAGAAAAGGAATAAACATCATTAAAAGATAAACTCTTCAACTAAAAATAAACAACAATTTTATACCGTGACATAAAATGTATCAAATAATTCAAGAGTTTTTGATGATAAATTCACCAGCTACTTCCTCCGGAGTGTAAAGTTCTCATTTCTCTGTCAGGCGACAGTTGACGGTGCAAGGGAAGCCATGGTCGTGAAGGTTGAAATATTTTTAATTGGAATTTGATTTGGGAATCAGTTGGATTTTAAATTAGTTTAGGTTACTTATTGGCTGACCAATAAATGAGCGTCACATCATTAATTAATTTATTTATTGGATTTAGATTGGAGTCCGTTGAAAATAAGGGAAATATAGGACCTAAAGGTAGAAGTCAAGGGTATTTCAGGGTCAATAGGTGAATAAAGGGTAATTTTGTACCATTTCCTATAGTTTGAGGGTATTTTAGGTCATTTCCGCATCTTTATTTTCAAGCTTTATTTCTATCGTAATTTTTTCATTTGGGCACCTATTCATTCCTTTTTGGGGAAAATCTTCAATTAATCATCATCTACGTTTTATATATATATA